CTGCCAATTGGCCCAGTGGTGAGAATATTTGTCTTCTTGACATTGAGATCAAAATACACATAGGCAAATAGTTTGAAATAAAGATGGCAATGCAAGTCAGAAGGAAAGAATGGACTATCCAGTAAACAGGTTTAGAAAACTAGTCAGGCATATGATAAAAAAAAAAGTTTCATCCCAAACTCAGAGCACACACCAAATTAAATTCCAAACTGATTATGTGTCAAAATACTAAAAAAATACATTTAGAGAAAGAAAAATCTAGAATATTTTAATAATTTAGAATAAGACAGGCCTTCTTATGCAAGAGAAGACCAACTCTAACCATAACATAGCAGATTGACATATCTGCTACTTCAAAATTAAAAAGTTTATGTGCAGCACAACATATCATGAGCAAACTTAAAATTTAAGTGGCAGACTGGGAAAAATATTTTAACCTTTCAGAAAGGTTTACTACTCATTTATATGTAAGGAAGACAGAGGAATCATTGCTTTGAGTTGTGGTGTTGGAGAAGAGTCTTGAATGTATATATCCCAAGGACTGCCAAAAGAACAAACAAGTTTGTCTGCCAGGAAGTACAACCAGGTGCTCCTAGGAGGCAAGGAAGGTGAAACTTTGTCTCACACACTTTGGGCATGTTGTCTGGGGGGGCCAGTCCCCAGATAAAGACATCATGCTGGGAAAAGTAGAAGGTCAGAGAAAGAGTGAAGACCCTTAATAAGACAGATGGATATTCCGACAATAGTGATGGGCTCATATCAGAGATGGTGAGGATGGCACAGGAGAGAGCAGATTACGATCTGTTGTTCACAGGGTCGCTATGAGTTGTAGTCAACTCAATAGCACCTAACAGAAAGAATGTGTAAATATTTCTACATATAAGGGTAAGACAAGGGGCCAATAAAAAAAAATAAGGAAAGACAGTAAAGGATAAAATATAAATACCCAGTAATCATACGAAAAGATGCTCACTCTCACAGGGAAATATAAGGCAGATAATACTTTTCACTCCTCAGATTAACTTCTGCCCTCTTCTTTGCTCACAGTCCAAGTTAAATGCTTCTTCAGCCATTCCACCCAGCTCAGTGCATATACAGCTGTCTTATGGCTCAGTCACAGTACAATGAAATGATCGGTGCATATGTACCCCACACCTCTTTGCCTACAAGACTACAAACTTAAGGTGGACAGGAAGCATATGTTATTCATCTTTAACTACTCTCCCTTCCCCTTATCACAATCTGGTATATACTAACTGCTTGATAAATGTTTTTCTGAGAACTAACCAGAAAGCAAGCCACCATGGCCTGTGAAAAGAATGGTGGGCAGCTCTGGTCATTAACTCAAGAACTATTTTACTTCCTACCACATGACAGACACGGCTAAGAGCTGGAGCGAGTGAGAAAGTGAGGCACCAGCTCTTTCTTCACAGATTCTATGGTGATTTCCACATGGCTAGAACACAAACTGGAATTAGAGGGTAATGAGGAGGCATCTTGGGGCTGAGTCCTGAAGAGGCTGTGTGCCACTCTGATAGACCAAATTAACTTGAACTGAAAAATGGCAGGAAAACAACTGGGGCAGAAAGAGCCGATGGGTCAGGTCAGTGGGCCAGTGCTTTCCATATGTCCTCAGCAAGATCTCTATTTTCTGTCCAGTGACTCAGGGCCATACTCACCCATGGGCACAATGATCCCAATGACAGCAGCAGTGACTGTTGAACCCATCTTTCCACCTTCGTTCCCATCTGCAAAACACAGACATTTGCGGAATGATGCCCAGCAGTGAGAACTATCCAACTGCTTCTCATTCTTATTCCTAAACGATGATCCTGGTTAAGAGTCAACAATTCAGTCTTTCCAGGTCTTATCAAAACTCCTGAGAGTGGGGTGAAGGAAATGGGAAGGATCTTTTGTGAAAAGCAATGTATTCAAACTTTGTAAATAAATCAGAAAATAAAAAAAAATCAAAACAAAACCAAAACACAACTCCTGAGAGGCAAGCAGGAAGGAGTGATCTCCATTTCACAGATGGGGAAATTGCATCTCACTAAGGCTTCTGAGGTCTACTAGATAAGTAATAAAGCCAAATTTGAACCCAGGACATAACTCCAAGTTCAGTGCTCTTTCCTCAGCAGCACAGTGGTAAGCATCTGCGACAGTGCATGGCAGAGAGAGCCCTTCAGTCTTTATGTTGTCGACTGCCTGGGCCAGTTGCTGTTTTTAGTCAGTATCTGCTGCTTGGTGGTGAAGCCCGTGTGTTGCACAGCTAACCAAAAGGCTTCATGCCTCCTATTGTTGGAATCCACCAGTGACTCTAAGGGAGAAAGATGAGCGACTCCCTCCTATTAAAATTTACAGCTGCAAAAACCAAGTGAAAATATTGAGGTTTTACTGTCTGCTGTTTTGTTATTTTTTATGGTCTATCCATCTATAGTATGAGTTTATATTTAAGAAATAATTACGCTTCAACAATTTCGATCCTCCCAGAAGAGCTGTGAGTGAGCATTAACATTACTGGTAAGTATATTCATTTTCTCCTGGACACAAGAGCCTACTATTTGGTCCTAAAAGCCTTCTGAGGTCTCAACTCTTCTATTTCTTAGTTGTTGGAATTGATGGAAAACCTCATAAGCAGCTCCTTACTTCACCTCTGCCTTGCATGCAGACTTCCGAGCTGTAAAA